AAATAATCTTAACATACCCTTTTGGAAGACCGTTAAAATTTGAAACCTTTCAGAATTTAACCTTCCAGCCTCCCAAAGACATTGCCATATTTTCCTTCTCATCTTTAATAGTTACAGTTACTTGAAGAGATATCCATCAGCCCGTTGTTCGCAATAATATAGATTATCAAATATGGAAAATATTAAATAAAAATATCTTGGTTTTTCAGTTTTATTAAGCCCCCCCATATTCTAAGGATAAAATCATTCTGGCTTTTAAAATGGTTCAATATTAGAAGCTTTATTTAAATGAGATTTAAAATTTTCTTGTGACTTAAGGAACAGCAGCTGAGGAAAATTTCAGGCAAATTAAAGCGATGCAGGAGATTTACATCTCATATGCACATAATGTAATCAGGACAAATGTTATATAACTGTCCTTTAAACTTCATAGGCAAGATTTGCGACAGAGAGTGACAAGTTAGTAAATATTATTAATACTTATCGTAAAAATCTCGTAACATTGAAATGCGATAAAGAATCCTTTAAAAACTAAGTTTTAAACAAACTAAAATGAAATATTTACACTCGTTTCTCTAACTCGGCTTTATTTAGCATTACTGTCTAGCAAGGCGTGAATCAAAATTCCTTAAAGGTACTTATGTTTAAGTTATTCTTTTATAATTATAGAACCGAAGCATGTATTTTATTTTATTCCATATTTACAACTACTGTTTTACCCTTTCATGAAACTTCATTAGGTTATGTATATTAAATTTTAAATGCATAGACTTTACATTTTTAATTTCATTTATGTTAAATGCATTTCTACGTAAAGTATTCAGAAAAGACTCTAACGTCAACGATATACTGTTTAAGCCCTCTGGCACGGGGTTCCACTAACAAAGCCCAAATTTTCCAAAATAGTCATCAGAAATATTTATTTTCTTCACTTTGATGCCAAAACACCCCCAACTGTTTTATGCCTGAATTTATGTACTCTTAAAATATTGCTTTAATTTCTTGGATATGTTTCAAGATGCACTGATAGGTGATTTCTTAAATACATCATAAACAATATTCTGTTCTTGTTGTTGTGACTTACCTCACATGTCTGACAGTAATATCAGAACAAACTCACGAAATTCATCGTGGCAAGCACTACAAGATTGCGACTGTCATTGGCAAGAACCTTGAGTACCATACAGGTAGCAATCAAATTCGCGCAGTTCTGCCCCAGTTGGATGGAGAAACCAGCGAGAGGGGTCCGAGGGTCTCCAAGCCCTCTTTCCCTACCAACAGCCGCTCAAGAGAACTTTCAGCTCACCGTTATTTAAAGTGATCCTATGCCGTACAGACACTATAGATTTACAAAAATTCCGTGATTTTCGATACGGCAGTCATTGTCGCTAACCACAATCCCGATTGAGCAGCAACAATGTTATAGGCCGTATATATACGGCCTTGCCGGTCAGTCTTTTAGCAAACATGCGATTTGACGGTGTAAATTTTACTCCTTAGACTTACTCCCACTAGTGAGATCAGCTATGTATAAATAAGATTTGCACTGATGTCACCATACAGGAATATCTTAATTTGACAAAAGAATATTTCACTGCAATTAGATTTTCTTCATTTGGAATTATATAGTTTTCCTGTAAAGAAAGATCCTTTGCATCCGCAGAAGATCGTAAATTATTTCTATGGACACAGAAACATTTTGGGAAATTCCAACACAATAAATAATGAAAATAGCTATGGGTCATATAATTACATACGGAAATGGCTGATAGCAAATGTGGTGTATCGAATTATTTAAAAACAAATAAGAAAAAATGTATACAACCTTTAAGAGATTAGATATTTTTGCACGAAGTTAGATCTTCTCCTGAATAGTCTAGTTTCATGGACAAGCCTGATTTTATATCATCATAATAACATTAACAAATAAAATTAAAGTATTGCTGATCAATTTCTTGGATCTTTTTCCTTTCTTTGAAGACTAAAGTTGTCGGACATCCCGAACTGTGAGGGACGGACCACATTTCAATGCAGAAGATTTAGAGTTTGCGCCCTCTATTTATCTCATTGGTTGGCATCCACCCATCCCATCACCAGTCTATATCATGAAGCTTTACGATTGTTTAGTATAATTATATAAATTTTTAATACTGTTCTATATGGTTAAGACGTTTTAATGGGACCTTTAAAGACGTTTCTGTGGGATCAGAAATATAGTCAACATGATTTAGGGAATTCACGAGTCCGGAATAAAACTGTTTGTGAAGGGATTTCCATTCCATCCGTATTTCATACTTTGAAAGCCGACAGTGAAATTAAATTCTTTGGAGAGTTTTAAATGGGCTGCTTTCTTTTGAAAATATTGAAAAATTTAAACACTTGGACGAAAGATTAACTTCTAGGAGGAAATATTTTGACGAAAGATAATTAATTACCTTACAAAATATTATTATTAATTATTGAAACATTATAATTACAAAGACATACGTGTCCAAGAATAAAACTGAAATCGAGCGCAAACACAAGCGCAGATTCTCTTACAATAAGAAGAATCGTGTTTCTTTCAAATGTATAACATTAATATCTAAACCGCATTTTCTATATGCAAACGGAGCAACACAGCCTGTGTTTAGATCAGGTGTAGCGTCAGTGGGTTTTCTTTTGGAGCAGAGACTTGAAAAATGTGCATTGCCCTCCCCGGGAATCGCACCTGGACCTCTCGATACGCGCCAAGTGTGCTACCGTTACACCACACAGGGGGTTACACGACACTCAAAGGAAGGACGGAGCAAATACCTTACATACTCCTCCTTTTAAAGAGCGACTGGGGATTAAAAGACCCAATCGCCAATTCCTTGTGGTGAAGAATCATCCTCCACCACCCCTTTCAGTTTGGGAGCCACTGTAGAGTCATTAGGAATTTTTGTGAAACTGGAGACAAGAAAAAGGAGAACCGCTCTCCCTTGGACTCGAACCTACACCTCCCGAATACGCGCCGAATGACACAACAAAAAATGCAGAAAGAAGAGTGAAAATACCTTATATCCTCCCCCTTTTAAAGGGACAGAGTCGCCAAATCCTGATGGTGAAGAATTATTGTCAATGACTTTTTATTTCGGGCGCCTTATTATTTTTTATTTTTTGTTTTGGGATTTTTGAAGCAAGAGACATGAAAAATGAGCAATACCGTCATCGGGACTCGAACCTGGACTTCTCGAATACGCGTCGAGTATACTTTCAGTTACAACACGAAGGCATGCTGAAAGGAGGAAGAAATTTTCTGATGGAGTCGATATCGACCCCTGGGGAATTTTAAAGAGGGTCTATGGTGAACAAGGGATTCGAACATGGTCTTGCCTATGATGTAAATCAAGATGCCTTTGATCACCAAAAATGTAGTAATAAAATTGATCATGGATTATTTATTGATATAAAGCTTTATCATACAAAAAGTCAAGTCTTTTTCGAAACACATGGGAACATTAAGTTTTAAAATTTAAAAGTCATGCAATAAAGCTATACCCAAATTAAAGTTGTTACCAAACCAACATTATTGACGTTTCCCTCTTTTTACCAAGTGGTAGCAGGCTTGAATCAAGTCAATAACTTACTACGCAAAGCAAGAAACAGGTTCACTATTTCCGAACGATGTGATTTAAATTCAGTATTTTTATGCCAGATATTAAAAAATTGCATCAGTACATCAAGCGTAGCGATCCCATCAATCAAAATCGAATTTTTGGGCAATTAGAATCTGTGATTTTGTGTCTGAAAACGTATTTGTATTTGTAAAATGAATCATATTAATAATGCCAAAAATAATTAAATATTAATCTAATAAACCATTTTGTTAAAACTTTTGTTCATGTTCTTACTCTAATTGTTATCTTTAAATTAAAAGTGCACTTATTTTGATGATTATATTATTATGATTTTGATGTATACAGTACATACAGTATATTATATGGTAACATGTAAAGGAGGCGATGAAAGAAACCATTTTTTTTAGAAGAATCGATGCAAGAAATGGGTTGATAATACCTGATTTAGTAGTAAATACACAAGGACCCCTCATGCAGACTAAAGGAGGACACTATTTCTGACAATATAAATAAACGACGGCACTAAGTCTTCAAAATTCTTGAACGACATACCTTTTTAAAAAAAAACTCCGGGATGATTTGAAACCTTTGGATCTGTTTGTGTTGTTTCACTGTAACATATGAAGAATTGAAAAAAAGTCAATTAATTTTCAAAGAAGCCCGAAATCGTTTGTAACCTTTGGATATATTTTTGCTGTTTCACTAAAACATATAAAAAGTTGTAAGAAAGCCAATTGATTTTCAAAGAAGCCCGAAATCGTTTAGAACCTTTGAATCTGTTTGTGCTGTTTCGCTATAACATATGAAGAATTGAAAACAGAAAGCTAATAAATTTATGATCATGTGAAGAAATGAAAAATAAACAATAAATTTTCAAAGAAGCCCGAAATTGTTTGTAAACTTTGAATCCGTTCGTATTGTTTCACTGTATCTATGAAGAATTGAATAATGTCAATTAATCTTATTAATTATTTGAAACAAATTTATGCTTCAAACAATGTGCTTTACCCACATTCTCCCTGAGGCTGTCGTGTTTAGCTTTGGCTTTGAGAAAATTTGTACACTAAAACAGAAGTTTTACATTTCGTATTACTTCAAAAGTTTGTAACACAGAGGAAATGAGAGAAAGGGTTTAAAATGACAATGATGCGCTAGATCGTGATCTTGAAAGGTTTATCACCAGTAAATTATGTTTAGAAGATAATTTTAAATGAACTGGATACAAGACTAAGAGTTTAAATTATCTCTCTGCGCACCAATATTTCTCTTGGTGACTCAAAAAATAAGGTTTATACGCATGTCACTTTACATAGTAATGTCAATTTTATTTGCTGAGTTTTGGTTAGAGATTTATTACACAGATTATTTCAGAAACATAGACAAGAATGTTCACAAGTTGTTGAGTATATAAACTAAAAAAAATGGTGAAGAGTTGTCATATTTATCTGAAGCATAAATTTCCATTAATAAGTTGCAACGATTAAGAACTATAGAATGACTTTAGCTTTTGTTATTATACTTCTGTTGCTGCAGGTAAAGCATATTTTTTCTTCTTTTAAATTCATTATAATTCTTCATATATATGAGACATTTTCCCTCAGATATTCGGAAATGTTATCGTTTCTTCGTTTTAAATGTATAATCCGGGCAATAGTGTGTAATATCTAATAAAATTAGGAAACAGAGTGAGATTTAAATTTACAGAAACGCATTGTATATTTCTATATTACAACTACAGAATATTGTTTCAGTTCAAGAGCTAAAGACACTGTAAACATCGGTATTTTTATCAACCATGAGAAGAATAAAATAACATTAACTTATTCTCTTTAATATTCTGTTTCTTTTGATATAAAAAAGTGTCTTACAAAATTCTTCCATATTAATTAATTTTCAGTCGAAAGAAATTTGTTTTTTAGAATGAACTTGAAGTCAAGTGTAAATTGAAATATTACTCTATTATTTTCTAATTTTTTTTATTAATGCTGTTCTAGACTAAAATTTTATATAATTATTTAAGTTTTTTGTATTGCATTTTATTTTCAGTATTAATTTAATTTCCTTCTTCAGTATTCAAGAGTAATAATTTAAAAAATTTAATTCGACTCTTAAACCATTTGTGTTGAACAGATTTTTAAATAACAAAGCAAATACCTAGTTCGTTTACTTAATTTATTGCATGCACAGAAATATTTCCAGTTTCTTCTAACGGAATTATGAAATTGATAGTTTTTTTCCCAATTTTTTCCGAGTGAAACATGTTTACACAGTATACTGGCATTACAGCAAAGTAAATACATAAACAAAAAATTTAAGTTCGTTTGAAATTACATGTCACATTAAAAAAAACGTAAATTAGAGCTTGAACTAAATTTATAGCTTTCAAGAAGTTCTAGTAATCCCTTTTGAATTGCTTGGTTTATTGCAATAAATAATATCTGTGTGAGACTTTCATATATTCACTATAAAATTTACCTGATACATGTTTTGAAATTAAAGCACTTCAAATCAAATTATGTAATATTTCTATGTAAAACTTCCTTGTTAACACTCTACTAATATTCAAAGTCTGATTCTACATACCTCTTATTTTTCATTTTATGATTACACTTAATCATTCTCACTAAGGGTTATAGTAAATGTACTCTTAACCCCTTCGCGCCGACTGTCACGTATACGTGCCAGCAACGAACACACTTATTACCGGCCGACCCGCAGGGCTTGCCAGAGCATTGTTGCGTTACTACCGCTGTCACGTATTTTGGCAAGTACCCTTGAAACGTTTTGCCAAAACTATAATTTCTGCCACCAAGATGGCACTGTATGTCCATATGGTTTTCAGATACATTGTACATTAGACCTTCTACTCGAAATGTGTGGGAAAGAAGAAGCATGACTATATACACGTGTTTTTGATTTATATAAACAAAACGAGGGGAACTAAATGTTTCCGAATGGGTGATTTATGACGTCTCTTTAAATCGCACTTTATCGCAGTGGGTAGGTGTTTATTGTAAGTAGAAGTTTTATATGCGCCTAAAGCGTTCAGTATTTCGGTTTTTACAGTTCAGTTTTAGAAAATAATTAGATCTTTTAGACGTGAATTCTTTCTCGTTTTTACCGTTCATGTTCAAGCTCGAAAATGTTGACCCAGAGCATGAAATAGCCGAAATGATGCAAAATATTTCAGATAGATTTGATTATGAAATTATATCTGATATCTAATATGATCGAAAGATTAACTGAAAGACATTTTCAAACTTTTGTTCAGAAGAGACTGATTAAGGAAAATGAGGCGAGGCGAGGCGACGATGCTTCGTTTGTTCACTTCCCGGAAAAATCCTCCCCAAAACGCAATGAGTTATTACGAGTTCAAGGAATGTAAAGTAGGACTGTGTGTAGATCACGTCTTAAAATTTTCATACCGAAAAGAGAATTTTAAGTAATATAGTAGTTCAGATGATAATGTTAAAAGTCATAAAATGTGAGTAATTAAAAAAAATCGTTGTAAAATATGGATTCTAAACAAGAAATGGTAAACTAAAGATATATATAAAAATATCTATAAAAGCATAAGCCCGTTTAAATACTCTATAGAGCATATTAAAAATTACGTTGATACTTCGGAGATAGATAATTTCATGAATTTAGGCTTAGTAGAAAAAAGCCCCCGGACCTGGAGAGGACGCTCGGGAAGACAAACTGCCGGCCTCTCCGCGATAAGGCGCGCGCTTTCGCTACCCGGCTCGAAGGGGTTTTAATGTTTACCACTATATAACTTTTCAACGCTACTGATTTTTCTATTGTCTGATAACAGGAGTAGGAGAAATTAATGTTCGAATTACTTATTTCCAGATGAAACCTGCTATGTAACCGTGCGTTTCTCTCTACGGATGAATAACTACGGATAAAAGTATTTCAGATTTATTAAAATACCCGTACATAAGCTATATTCTGTCTAACGTATTTATACACTTTATATGTTACCGGCAAAGTATGAAATCTGGCATTCTATAGAATACCTAGGTATCGTGTATAATGCCTAAAACTAGCCGACAATGTATGAAACGATTCATATTCACACATTTCCTAAGGCAATTACAGAATGCCAAATGACCAAACCGCAAAGCATAAAGTAACATTTACTATTCGTTTCGAAGAACCGAAACTATTACCGAAGCTTAATAAACGATGTAAAAAGGCCAAAAGAACTAACAAGAAGGAACCACGGAACTACGGCCGCCGAGGGTATGTTACAATGCCTAGGTAAAGACTGTAATAATTATTTATTTCCTTACTTTGCCTAAAATAATCTCAGGCATTATATACAGGCTTAGGCATTCTATAGAATGCAAGCGTTTCATACTTTGCCGGTAACATATACATTAAAAAACTCTGAATATTAATTCATGGTGAAAATATCGTATGTTTTCATCATCTTCTTTAGACATAAAAGCTAGGCAATTTGCGCTTTCGAAAATTAGTTCTAAGAAAGGCCAGAAGGTTATTAGGTCTAAAAAGAAGGTTATTATACTGAAAACTTTACAATTTAAGGAATTTAAATTAAATAGATAGTAAATAACTTCAAAAGATAGTAGTTTTAAAAGCTGCCATATAGAGCATTAAATAAGAAAATTATTCTTTCAGGTTGTGTCAAGTAAAATGTGTGGGTCAAACTCTGATTGCTCCTCTTCAGAATGCTGCGTACAAAGAGACGGTGCTACGCGATGTGCGCGTTTAGCAAAAAAAGGTAAAACAGTTGTAGTCATTGCAATTAGCATATTGTTTTCATTAGAAGTGCCGCAAAATAAGAAAGCAGGACTTTCTTATATTTTTATGTAGAAGTGCACATATTCTGTAAAATAATGAGGAATTTAATTTCATTACTTCTGATCCTTATAAATTAATCATCTGAATGAAAGGAATAGCTTGAAGCCAATCGCCATCCATCTGGAATTTAATCTTTTACATTTTGGCATTATTCGGAGTAGAGTAATGATCTGTAAATCATGTAAATAAAAAATTCCATCGATTCAAACAAAAAGTTCTAATACTTCAAGAGACATTGATTCTAATTTAATATTTAACTAATCATAACTTTTTAATATCTTAACTAAGAACATATTCTTAATAATTTACTATTTAACCAAAAATTTCGTTTCATTTTTTCCTTAGTTAAAGTTTGGCAGTTTTGAATATGCAGCTGTGTAGATATAAAAATGTTGTTATTTAATAAACACACAATGTTATTTTAAATGATAATATATCTCTCTTTTTAAGGTGAAGTCTGCAGTGGTATGTTAGAGATCTTCCCGATACAAGTAATGGAATGTCCTTGTGAGAGTCATCTTTCTTGCAAGAGAAAAATGGATTGGTAGGATGTTAAATTAGATTTTCTTTAGCCTAAGTTATTAATTTTTATTAAATACAAATATGTGGAGAGTGAAATCCAGCTATAACAATCCCGAATATGTGTATATTATCCCTTAAGCTTGATACACCAGCTTGTGTTATTTTTACATTTTAATACTAAAATAAATTGATCCGAAATTGCAGATATTTAAATTTTTCAAATCTACTTCTCCCCCTCTAAACGTGTCGGAAGACTTTAGGAAAAATACTTTCCTCTTGCTCATCTTAGAAAAATCCCTAAAAATGGTCACAGAAAATAGTTTTCTTCCCTCTCATTTCAATCTGAAATACTATTCCAAAACTTGAATATTCATTCTCCTTTTCTTACTCACTGATTTTCAGTTATCCTTTACAAGACCTAATGGCTCTGAAAAAAATCTCACCCTTCTGTGTTGCACGAATTAAGATAGGAATGAGTGTCAAACATTTGATGTTTTTTTTTTTATGAAAAGGTTATGGTATATAAGTATAGTAACATTAATAAATGGTAAAACATTAAACAAAAAATGTAAGAAAGAACTGAAACAAAACTTGGTAAACGTTTCAAAATTTGGGGTTCAAAATTTGGAGGTCGGGGGATTGTGCTTTTGGATGGAATTCACAGTGAGACAAAAAACGCTGTTTCTCGTGGTTCGAGAACTTACAATGAAGAATATTCCAGGCTTTTCCTAAAAGAAAAAATCTTCTAAATTTTCTAAAATTCGGAGAAATAATCATCTTGAATTAAACAAGAGATGGGTGTGCAGAAGTGGACTAATGAGATTTAAAATGCGCTGTAAAAAATTTTTACATTCTTCCTCTCTTTTTTTAACAAATGGTTCAGTTTATAGAGCCTCCAGTACACAATCTCGAATAGTTTCCAGCATTTTTCAGCCCACTGGAAGAATCTTTGATAGGAGGAGTAGAAGCATCTAAAATCCCAAAAGAAAATGGGCAAAAATAACTGGACTTTTAAAAAATTTATGACAAATAAATTATTTATCTAACAAAGATGTAGTTTGTACTCGAATTTGTGCTAAAGACGTTCGCTTTCATCCCTAGGACTATACATGTGAAGTTTTCTCTCAATTAACATACATGGAGGTAATGTGCAACAATGTAGTATCTTCTTCACATATGTACTGACTTGTTTCCCTGTGTTCAAATCTGTATAGATATGATGAAGTAGATTTTGCTCCATAAATTTCTCCATTAAAAATTTATCTGTTGACCGGATTCAAGCAGGATGCAAATGTTTAGAAAATCATATTTTTCTGTCACATACGTCCAGCCACAATATTTGTTTATTTGGGAATGTTGCCCTTTTAAGGAAAATGGCTGGTTTTAGAAGTATATAGTTCCAAAATGCTTGCGATAATTATTGAATCTTTAGCAAACTGATCAGCTGTTTCTTTTTCAATATGACTGATGTATAATTTAATGCTAAAAAGCTCTAAAGCAGTGGTTTTCAAACTTTTTAGCTCCACGTACCCCTTTCACTCTTGCTAGAAGATCAACCCCCCTCTTTTCCAAAAGATATATAAATACCTTTAAATTTAGGTTATTTTTAATAATTTTAAAATTAAGCAACAAAAGACATAGAAAATGTTGATAAATGCCATAACTTGAATAAAAGTTATATTTTATATTCATAAATTATAACTAACTTACTTAACCTTAGAAGGTATAGTTCCCGAATGCTTGCGATAATTATTGCATAGGTTTAGGCGGGGGATGCGATTAAGGCTGACCGCGTCCCCCTCCTAAACCTATGAAATTCTACCTGGTTGAGAACACCTGCTTAATTTAAAGCATTAATATTCTTTAACTGTGGAAGAAGAATTTATGTACCGTCCAAAGGAATTATTTTGTGTGCCTCCTCTCACAGCCAGGGGCGTAGTTAGAGTTTGCAGCGCCCGGGGACAACTGAAGGATTTGCGCCCCTTTCTGTGTCCCAAGAATGAGAAACCATTTCATTAAAAAAATTTAGTAGATCAATTTGGAGCCCCTGGATGATGCGCCCGGGTACAGATGTCCCCCCTTGTCCTACCCTAGCTACGCCACTGCTCACAGCTTAGTTATTTATACGGATTATATGCATAGGGTATTTGCCAAAGATTAGCTATTTATATGGGTTGTGCTAATTTAGTCATTTTCCTGCAATTTAAGTATCACACAGTTTATCTTGAAGTCTTAATTTGGCATGCGTAAATTCGATGAACTTCCTGAAAACATTTCCTTCAGTTTTTCTCTAAATCATTCTCTGTGCGCATAAGGCAGTAGACGTCTTGTTACCTATTTTGGAACTGTACGTGTATAAATGATGATGTCTGTTGCTTGCAATTAGAAAAAAAAAATTTTTTTTTTCGTTTTTCTATTTATTTCCAGTTTATAAAACTCATTATCTCTTTACATTCAAACTTTTGAAGTGAATTAATTAATTAATTCTAGTAATTTGTAAACTATTTTGTTATATTTTGCCGTTTTCAGATGGTTTAGTATTTTAGATTATTTCTGTTTTGTTTTTCCGCAATTTATTATTCTCAGAAGCTTGCCATTTTTAAGGTCATAATTAATATGCTATTACTCTAAAAAGTATAAGTATGTTTTAATCTTGTGAAAAGCATAGGGGTATTATTTAGGAGCACCGTTACTTAAAATAGAATTTTAGGGTAGCTTTTGACTGTAAAGAAAGACTGAAATGCTTTCTCGGGCTTCAAGATAAACAAAAAGAAGATGTATATTTAAAAATGTTTGAATTTATTACATTAATTATGTTCATCTTTTAGGCATTTCACCTAATTTTATTTTTATACTTTCTTTAGCCCAAGCCTTATTCTCACACTTTTTTTATTTCTCTGAGTTCGTTTTTATTTAAAATAACAAGATTTTTTATTTTAAATTATTCAAAATTTGAGTTTTGAAATTAAATTTAGTGGTTCTAGGTACAGTCATTTTTCCAACATGCAACGAACATACATACATACACACAAGTTATGTATTACTGAATAACATAGACTAACAGAAACAGCCTTAATTAGGAAAACATCATTTAAATCTATAATCTCCATTAACGTTAGCCATCTTCGTAAGACGATCACTTTCGTAAAAGACAAATACCCTCTCAAATCTACAGAGTTCATGTACACAGCATTCAATGTAAACATGGTTAATCAGCCTGACTATCAAATAAGATTAGTTATTTGAAGGTATGAGCTAGAGGTTCTGATAATTTAAAAAAATAGAACTCTTCCAGCTAAGGTTAAGTAAAAATATTTCAAAAATTTCGAATGGCAACAACCTTTTTTTTTTTTTTTTTTTTTTTTTTTTGTTTTCGAATTGATTAGCGCATTGAAAAACCATAAAGTGTGTTAGAACGATACGGTTATGACAAAAGTTACCTGAGTAAAGCATTTGGAAAGAAAAGTATTGTACAGTAGTACTAATAACAACAAGACAGAGAGAGGGGGAGAGAAGAGGGTAAAATCTTTTATTGGAATTACGGGTTTGCATCGTGCCCATCTTTGGAGAGGACAGCGCATTGCATGCGGGAGATTGTTGTCAACAATGACGAAATTAACTTCACTGGAGGATTCTGTACAACTTTACGCTTATAGCGTCTTTCAGTTTTGATGAATCTAGCCGGTTTCATGAGTATACCTTAGATTTCAGGTAACCCCAGAACCAGAAATCTACCGGAGTGAGGTCAGATCCTGACATGAATTAAAAGCGACCTGTTCGCTTAACCAATCGAAATGAAATTCCAGATATTATTATTTGAATGTATGCGCTTGACATTGTGATGATTTAAAACAATAGCGCTTTCACGGTTATGATTATAGTGAAAAATTTTTGAAATTTTCGAATGGAAACATCCACATTTTTTTTTTTTTTTCAATTGATCAAGGCACTAAAAGACAGTAAGTGGCTTGGAACGATACACGTATGACAAAAAATGCCGATGTAAAACATTTGAAAAGAAGAGCATTGTAAAGAACCAGTAACAACATAAAACAGGAGAGGAGAAAAAGAACTTTTATTAGAATTACAAAAGTTTTCAAAGGCTCACCTTCGTAGATGCTAGCGCAGTACATGCGGGGGATTGTCAACAACAATGACGATCATAATTTATTTTTACTATAGCAATTTTTATATAACTATTTAGCAATTTTAGCAATAACTTATTTAGCAATTTTTATGTAGCTTCACGTTTTATGACATCTTTGCATCCTGAAACATTTCGCGTATTTGATGTGAACACCTGAAATTTCAGATAATCCCAAAAGCAGAAATCCATCGGAGTGAGATTGGGGTGATCGCGGTGGCTATGAAACTGCAAAGTTACGGGAGACGATTCTGTCTTGAAACACTGTACACGTTAAAAACTTGTAATTCCAGTAAAAGTTTTCTTTTCCCTCTTCTCTGTTGTACTGTCATTGGTCCTTTACAATGTTCTTCTTTCCAAGTGTTTTACTCAGGCAAATCTTTCCAATGCCATTTATTGTTTCCCAATGCGTTGATCCATTTTCGCAGGAGAAAAGCGGGTGTTGCCATTGGAAAATTTCCAAATTTTTTCACAGCAACAGTAACCATGGGAGCTCCATTGTTTTAAACTATCACAGTCTCGAGGACAGACCTTAGATAATAATGCCTGAAATTTAATTCAATTGTTTGAACAGACAGACAGCTAGAGGTTCATACATCGAGAAGATTTTTACAACCACCCTGTATAACGTTTTGTTCATGATTTTAGACACACACTCACATCATTCCTTTTGGTTCTAAGAGATTTCTTATATTAGGAAAAAAAACTGTAAGAAAAAGCTTAAATTAACAAACTTTCCGCATAGCTTTTTCGAGGCCATGCTAAAAGAATTAAGTAAGAATCTAAGAAATAAAATCAATATCAGTGTGTTTTTGCCACTGAAATTCTAAATTATCTTAGTCAGTAAGGTCGATTTGGGGGAACTGGGTGTTTTGCGAGATGTCTCTGCTGAGTTTGAGATCAAAAAGCACACAATTAAAATATCTCATATATTGCTATCCTAAACTGGCTGAAAATAGTTGTTAATAAAACTTTCTTTCTAACCAGAGAAATGCGTAATATTTGTATGCATTTCGTTCACTTTGTCTTTTATTTGCAGTTGATGTGTGAATAAGTATGAAGAAGAAATCTTGAAGAAGAAATAGTTTTTTCTGTTCTTTAAGTTACTGATCGTATCAAGATATATTTTCAACCAGAAATAAATTTATGTCTGAAAATTGTAATAAACAACTCTTTAAATAAAACAGATTTTTATGAGATCAGTTATAAGACTCTGTGTTATTCATTTTCAGTATTATAGTAATCAGTTCCAATATTACAGCAATATAGCCATTTTCAATATTACAGCAAAATTAGCATATTTTAATATCGTTCTTAAAAAAATTATTCATAAATAAACTACTTTTTTAAATTAATACATTAAAAAGATTTATGTAATTTAAATATCTGTATTGATAAGTTGCTTTAAATTTTAGCTACGAGTATTTTATATTGTCACTGTTTGCACATTGCCGTTCTATGAAAATTTTGGTCCATTCGAAAAAATTGGTCCATTTTTAATAAATGCCTCTCACATGTATTAAAAAAAATGAAAAAAGATCGACTTCTGAATTATGAAAAATTATTTTATTTTACATTGATATCCAGTTTGGATCTACACATTTCGAAAAATGCGTTCTTGTAACAGCCTTATTCTTAAATAATTCTTCTGCTGTGATACTCACATAGTCAAATTTATATACTGTGAGTTACTTCCTCTAGTATACTACTAATATCTGCAGAAAAGTCAACGAAAACGATACTGAACTTAGATGTGAATCTGTGCACTTGTCACAGGCGTCAGGAAATGCTAGCAGATGTAGTAAAAACGCTGAAAAACGTATGCTGTAATATATACGCTGAGGCTGTAATATTTTTCCATTAACCGTGGGGTAAAGCTTGTATGAGCAGGCGTGTCTTCATACAGATATGATAATTTCTGTTGTTTCCCTTACTTAACAACTTCCTAAGTACAGAAAATGTCCAATTTTTATTTCCTAAATTGTACGAAATTTGCATTTTAAGGCGAAATATATGTGAAATATAATAATATATATAAATTTTTGGTCAAACATAAAAAGAGTGTTTACACATTTTTAGAACGATTCCGCGACTACGTTTAGAGTGTGAATACTTTTTAAAGTCCGATGTGGATTTCTTTTCAGATCTTTAATGGACTTATTTCTAACTATAAGTCTACATCGTCGTTTCATTGATAGAAAGGCTTTTCGTAAAATTTCGAGAGGTATTGATTTCTATTCTTCTTCCACTATTTTCGGGAGTCCATCACTTTTAATGGGTTTGTTCTTAGCAACAGCTCTTTTCAAGAGACCTGAGGCATAATAGTCCTCAAACGTCAGACGTCAAGGGTGAAACGTTAGGGGACTTCGCAAAAATGCGTTGAAAATTTAGTCTTCGTATGTTCAAGGAATGCAGTGATTCTTTATGAAGTATAACTTGTTGCATTAACTTGATGAAGTTTCACTCTGAAAGTCACTGGCATAAAGAAATGGAATTTCTCTGTTAATATCGGATGTAAAACTTTCTCATGATAATACGTTGATTCATTTTAACATATTTTCCCTTCTTTATTTTAATCTCTCTAGTAAATCTTGGATTCTTATTTTATTAATTGTTGCCATAGTTGTATTGGAAGACTTTGCAATTGATTTTTGAGTCGGCGGATTTTCTCTTGGTACTACCGTTTTTAATTTGTGAAACTTCGAACTGTTCCATGTTATTGTTAAAGTCGTTTCTACCATTGTAGAAGTATGATTGCGGGTATTTCCCTTTCCTATGTGAAATTGTGGCATATTTCTCTCAGAAAGTTTCATACCAGACACTCACAAACAGTTTTAAATGATGTTAAAGATGCAGCAGAAATCTTTCAATTCACAGCTTGGTTTTGTTTACATGCGTCATTTGGAAAGAAGAATAAATTTAGAAGCACCAAATCTCAAATAATATCTCTGTTGCCGAAATATTTATTAAGCAACATTTGCTTTTTTTCATTTCTTTGTGGAATCGTAAACTCTCTCTCAATAAATAGAGGAAAATACAAAAACCTTTGTTATCCATTTAATGTTAGCTTTTCCCACACACGTGACTACGAGCAAGAGTAATAATTTAATTTTATAGAAATTGACATTTCTTGTACGTTATATCTTGAAATTTCGCAAAGCAAGTCATGCTATACTATTTCAACTCAGTATATTATAAAACAAGGCAGAACATTAAATCCTTTAAGTGTTTGCAAAAAACACACGAATTGCGTTGTGTAGGTAGGCTTTCAATATTTTCTGTCTGAAAATTAACGCAAAATATTTCAGTAAGAAAACTGTGTAGTGTAACCATCGAATTATCAAAAATTGCTCCAAAAATCGTATAATTATCATATTAGAATTCAAATGGTGTAAGTTGGTAATTATGTGAGTGCCCGTAAGGAAATGGAAATTTGGTGGAGTAGTTAAAGGACATTTTTACATTACTTTCACTAAAAATCCGAACTTTGTCTAAATGATCATCTAATCTAGTTTATCATCAAAATTACGTTAAAAATCTTAGGAACTTCTTTTGATTAGTAGTTTTTACAGATACTGCAATTTTATTATTTATTGATTTATTTGATTTTAAATATAACAACATTGTCAGTGGAAGGTCAAAATCTCTATTAATTACATTTAATAGAAAATTAATAAAATATTGAGATTTTTCAATAAAAAACAGTTATTAACATAAATAAAATTATATCTGTATACTTCAATTTAATTCTCGGCTCTTTACTAAACATAGCTATGTGTAAGCTATGTTTAAACAAAAGCTAGCTTTTGACATATTCTTAAATTAATGCACTCAGAAAATTAAACCAAACAGAAATACACATCGAAAGGATTATTATACACATGAAACATTTTGCAGCTGAATAAACATTTTTATTGCAGTTTTGACATACAAGTTCGTAATATGACGAAGTTTTAGGAAGAAAGGTTCGGCAACATAACAAGGAATAAGAATATTTCAGTGTCAGGATTTTCTCTTCATGCTTTTGCACAAGTAAGCTGCAGAAAGAAGACAACATGAATGAAAGACGCGTAATAATTTGATTTAAATTATTTATAATAAATAATTTGATGATTCTTTATTGGATTAGTTTAATTTCTAATACACATGTATAGAAATTTTATATTAATAAGGCACAAATTATTCTAATTCGGCGCTTTGGGTCGCATGTTTAGACACAAACTAATGGTAAAGGTAGATAATGATCACATGCATTAATAATTTATTTCCCCTCAATATTTATGCATTGCTTTGAGCCTTAGTTCTTGAATTAATTTTTCCTTAACGCTACAGCTTAAATTTTCAGAAAGAATGTCATATTAAATTTTTACTTAAAGATTCTTTTCAACATTTAAATTTATATCACACTACGATTGAGGTCTTCGTTATGTGAAAAAAGAATTCTCAGATGAATCTGAGAAACCTGACACATTTAATTTAGTCATAAATGAAGACAGAAAACACTTTAATTTAATAAAAGACTTTTAAAAATGGAATGCTTTTAAGATAAAAAAGCATATAATACATTTTATATAGACATTGAAATTTAACATTTAAATATTCGAAATTTGAGCTGAGAAATTTAATTATTTAAATGGAAAGAAATAAGAATTAAGCCTTGGTTTTATTGAAATAATATAATGAAAAATCTATGTCATTTACATGTACAACACCACAGTGTATTTTAAAAAATCTAGTCTTTTACTATCATTTCTAAAGCCGTAAGATATTTTTGCTCTTCACGATGCATATACACATAAATTGAATGGTTTAGAATCAACGAACGAGTTCCAAAAAATTGTTATTGAGCCTCTTTTTACTTCCTCCCAGAAAGTAAATAAAGCATTATAATCGCGAAAAATTTGGGTATCATCTTTCAATGGGAATATCCATTTTGACCATTTCAGAATCTTTTTTTTTTTTTTTTTTTTTTTTTTTTTTCGTGACGACTATACATACGGAAGAAAAAAAGAGAGGTTTCTCTTCAAAACGGATAGCAAAAGGGATTTAAAAAGAATTCCAAAGTATTTTTTTTTCTGACGTTTGTACGTACGTATGTTTGTATCTCGCATAATTGAAAAACTATTAGCCGTAAAACGTTGAAATTTTGTATATGCGACTGCTATAACCCTTAGTAGTGTCCCTCCCTTTTTTTTTATTGCAATCGGCAGTACTAAACGTGTATATATATATATAATATATATACCCCCTCAGCTTAAAAGTCCTATTTTTAAGCTGAGTGGCTTAAAAATATGACTTTATTAAGCTTTATTTTACATCGTTGGTAGTTTAGTCAATATATTCCAGTTACAGAAGTGTTTTAAATGACGGAAATATTCACGTTTTGCAATGTCAAATTTAAAAAAAATATATTAATTTTGGACAAATAACAAAATTGTGCATTTATTGCTGTCTCCTGGTTTTCAAAAGTAAAATAAAGTTATAACACATAATCAAAAAATAAAATTATAAGAAGTTCGACAAAAATTGACAGGGATATTTAATTTCAAAATTTTCAGTTTTCAAATTGCCTTCAGGAATCGGTTAATTAAGTTACAAAATCAAGTGCAGCAAAAACTGTGTAAATTTAATATGAAATACAAGGAAGTCGTGTGTTGTCCACATCAGATTCTTTAATTTTCCTTATGCGTTTAAACTACGATGTAGTTTAACTACGACGTTGATGACATTATGACTTTATTGCTAATAACAGTATGTGACTGATGATCAAGAAAAAAAAGTTAAAAGGGATAATTTTAAAATAATTAAAACACATGAAGATAACTATAGAGAAGTAAAAAAAACTAAAAATTATTAAAATAGCAATCTCCACATACAGATAATGAAGGATCTGTATGCATGTATGCATATTTGTTTCTTGCATTGTGGAAAAACGGCAGCACCTAGAGCTACCAAATTTAGAGCATACAGTCCTCCATCCGAGCATGTGCGCCTACAACTTTGAATAACCCATCGAGATTCACTCGTTGCACAATGTTTATAAAGATAAGCAATGGCGGTGCGCATTTTTTTTTTTTTTTTTTTTCGAAATTCGAATAGGATCGGATATTTTAGTTTAATTTTTTTAAAATAACTTCGCAAAATATATTCGTTTCGCGAACACGATAAGTATATCAGATTTTTACTGTTAGCACTATTGAACAAAGCGGAAAGAAACTGGCATGAAAATTGCAATTTAAATATCTGAATTTTTGGCGAATTTTTTAAAATCGTTCTACTTTTTAGACTATTTAACGTTTATGATATTAAAATGTTAGTATCTAAAATTGTATCGGATATAAAGTTTTGAAAGTTTCACAGACTGTAAAACAAATTTTTCGCCTCTTTTAAAACAAAGATGATTAAATGAATATTAATTGAGAGATGTGTTTCTTTCTTTCTTTTTTTTTTTTTTTTTAATTGTATTGCTGTCTGAATTAGGCAGGAGAAGAAAAGCGTTTCGTGGAAAAACTTCTTTTCGGTTTGCCATGACAAATTGGAAATATTAATTTTTTCATTTAAATTTCAAGTACAATGCTCGGTGTACTTGATTGTTATTATTCCAGTTTCCGAAACTAATATATTCAAAGCGACTTTTTTTTTCATTCCTTTAATGACATTCAGTAATTTTCTTTTATTTCATAATTTTCTTACAATTTATTGCTTACGTCTTAATGATGACTAAAAATTTCTTTATTGAATTATAACTGAGCCTCAGAAACAGAAAATAAAATACAATTAAGAAATACAGTAGGCTTTTATTTAAAATTGGTATTATAATGAATGCAATAAAAGGAGAAAAATAATCTATCATATAATTTAATTAGAATAATGGATTTGATATTTCTATTTACAGAATTCTTCTACGGATTTATATCGCAAATAACAATAGCGTGAGGCACCTAAATAATGAAATCTATTAATTTAATTGCATTCTCAAATATACATGCCATTATCTTATTTAATTTATCATGGGTACCCCAGGTTTTAATTATACGCGATATAAATCTGTTGATGAATTCTATACATCGATTTATTTAATCTATTATTTCCATTAAACTATTGTGATATGTTATTTCTTTCTTTTTAATGCACTTGTTATCATATCCATTTTAAATAAAAGCTTACTGTATGAAAAAGTTTTTTAATTTTATTTTAAAATTCAGTTTTGCTGTTATTAATGAAGTAAACAATTTTAAAGCAACAAATGCAGTTCTCAATGATTTTGTACTTCTTGACCACATTAATTTAAATGCTTTTAATTCGTGATATATGTAATTAATAACTTCAGTTTTATGGATTTTACATTTTTTAACTTTTATTTTTGTTTTATTTATCTATTTTTTTATTTGCATTTATTTAAAGATTTTTTAACTTTCATATAATACATATTTGACATCGAATCCCGTTTCCTTAAAAAATTTTATAATCTTTTATAATTTTTTTAAAAAGCAAAAGCTTTCTTCGATGTTGTAGGTTTAAGACTTTAAATGTCGTGTAAATGTCTCTTCAATATCTTGCTTGATGGACTCGTATTAATAATTTGTACTGAAAATTTGTTGATGTTCATTACATGAAGATGTTTTACTGCAGACATAATCTATATGATGATTGCTAAGCACGACCCAATTACTAGCCTAACTAGTATGATGAGAGTTTAGCCACAAAGTATTAATAGATGCAATTAACCTTCATGCTTCAGCTACATGCAACCATGATGATTAAATCCTCTTAGTCTGTAAAAGAGCTAAACTGCATAATTTAACCAGTAGACTCTCGATTATCCGCGCCTGCCGCAAAAGTTTTTTTTTTTTTTTAAACAGCGTAAAGCAAGAAAATAAAAATGTTCACAAAAACTGAGCGACAACTTTAAAATTGCTGACAGCGGGGTATTATTGCAAAAATATCCAGGATTCTCGGAACCTTCCCCTCGGCCCCATCTGATGAGTAAGTGATTCTGACTCACCCTTGCAGCCCGCTCACGCTCTCTCTCGTCTTAATCTTAGGACACGCCCCTTGCGAACGGTCCGAGTAATTTTTTCTCTTTTACTTTGCTAAGGTGTGCTTTCGGTTTTGTGTTTTCGTTACCAATTAAAAATGTAGCAACGAAAAGAAGGTTGTGTTGACGCATGCGCAAAAACTAGACTTAATTCCAAAGTAGAACAGAGCTACAAGGCAGCAGATGGAACTGGTTACGGAATCGCGGAAGGAAACAAACAGTGCGTGGACATTCTAAGCAAAAAAGACAAATGGTGAACTAGGCATCAGTGTCGGACAGTGCTCCGCAATTGAAAACGTGAAAACTATGAAGGATTCTACTTGATGAGCCGACACAGCATTGACGAGTGGTTAGCTCAAGTTCGAAAAGGGGTATCCTTGTAAAGGAGTCCTATCATGGCGGCGAAGGCAAAAACCTTTTTTCAGTTTCTGCCTGAAAGAAAATTTTGATGTGTCTTCCGGCTGGTTGACTCGTTTTAAGCAGCGACATGGCTGGAATTCTAGAAACTTGGATTCAGGGGGAAGACACTTCGTGGTGACCAACCAATATGAATTTGATGAACCGATTTCCACCATGAATTGAAGCAATTGTTAAAAGAATGAGTATGTTTGAACCAAATTTAACCAATGCGGAAAGAATCGGAACTTTTGTGGGATAGGGGATCTTCCCACTCGCAATTTAGCATTTGAAAATGAAAGTAAAGCGGCGGGTTCATTAAAAGCATCAAGGGTAAGGACACATCAGTCTTGCAGTAAAACGCTACGGTGGACATAACTTAGACTTGTTGTCATGGAAAGTCAAAAAACAGAGATCTTTTCAAAACGGCACAAGGATTAGAAAATTTGCCAGTTGATTACTTTAGCCACAAAAAAGAGAATGATGAACCGAAACATTTTCAAGAACGGTTCGAAAACATCTTGTTCTTCAAGTTGCGAAAAAACATCCTTCCTAAATCGAAAAAAACCTGCCTGAAAAGAAAAAACTTGGTATTGATCGACA